CGACTCGTTCGTCCGTTTCCAAATCTGCTGCTACTGCTAAGAAGAAGTCGGCTCCTGTTCCCAAGCCCAAGGCTACTGTTAGCAAAACTACTAAGGAGAAGAAGGCACCTCCTTCCAAAGTGATCTGTGCGGTGGTTGTGGTTGGGTGTGGTGGTTCAGTACGGTGGTTGGGTGCTAGTGTGGTGGTAGATCTGTGGTTTTAATGGTGGTGTAGTGGTCGGTGACGGTAACAGCGATGATGGTAGGGTTTGGGATTTTTTTGGGTTGTAGGATAGGGGTGGTAGAGGAGGTGGAAGTTCTGTGGTTTTAGTGGTGGTGGTGGTAGTGGAACGATGGTTGTGGGTGGGTAGTGGTGGTCGTTGTGGTGATGCTATTTTAGATAATGGTTTGCGAGGTGATGGCAGTTGTGAAGTATTGTCGGTTTGTATCTGATTTGTTGTTGGTGGCTGTGGTGGTGGCGTCGGCGATTGTGGCGGTCACAACTTATCAAATTCGAAATGATGGTTTTGTTGCCGGGAGGTGGTTTTGGTGGTTCTGACGACGGTGGTTTGGGTTGTTGCAACAGTGTGGTGGTGGTCACAAACGATTCAATAAATAATATGTGACCAATGAAACAGATAAATTGTGACCAATACATACTCTGTGACCTAAAAAATTATTAATTTGTGACCAACAATTTGATAAATTGTGACCTAAATATAATTTATGATCAATTAATTTGATATTTTGTGACCGTAAAAAAATTTGTGACTTATAGAATTTGTGACTTGTGATCAATAAATAATATAGGATTATTAATTTGATAGATTTGAAACCGATGAATAAATTGCGACGTACAAATTTTTGATTTGTGATTGATGAACAAATTGTAACCTATAAATTTTTTGAATTGTGACCGTAAAATAATTTGTGGCGTATGAAAATTGTGATTTTTGGCCGATTAATAATATGTGATCAATTATATAGAATTTGTGATCAAATTATATAAAATTGTGACCTTAATATATTTAATTAATAAAATATACGTTTAATTATTTAATTTATAAATAAAATTTAAAAAACTTTGAAATTTGAAATTTTAAACATAATAACTTAAATTTGAAATTGGTACAATTAAACCTCTTAGTTATGAAATATTCCCTTTTTATAATGTACTAACTATGTATTGTTCCCCTATTTTCTTCGGGAAAAAAAATAATAAATGAGAAGGTGTTTAGTTTTCACCAATTCAAAAATCAGGTTCATAGTTTGAAAATTCAAAAACCGATTTTTTTATTTATGAAATAATAAATTATTAAATTAATTTATTATTAAATATTTAATTCTAATATAATATAATATAATTAATCCACCCCACATGCACTACCCATACCGCTCCGGGGACTATTTCGGCGACCGTTCCAACGACTACTCCGATTTCGACGACTATTCCGGTGATCATTCCGGTCATAGATTTATAATTTAATTAGTCACATATTACTTTTCAGTTGCAAATAATAATTTATATACATCACAAATTATTTTACGGTCACAGCTCAAAAATTTTGTAGGTCACAATTAATTCGTTGGTCACGAATTTCAAAATTAATTGGTCACATATCAAAATTTATAGGTCAGACGGTCACATATTTCAAAATTAAGTGGTCACAGATTTTTTATGGTCACATATTATATAATTTTTAGGTCACAGATAACAAAATGGTTGGTCACAAAGTATATTTTTAGTCACATATTACTGAATTTTGGTCACATACGCCAAATAATGGGTCACATACCACCGCCACTTGCAACCACCCTCACCTCGGCACCACCACAATAGCACCAACGCCACACCACTACCACCACCTCCAATGAAAGCCGCACTCCACGGCGCCACCACCAACAAAACTGTCACCATTAGATCCAACAAAAAAAATCCCAAACCCACAACCAGATCAACCACCATCCCTGTCCCCTCAACTACACCATAACCATAACCACCGCCACCACACCACACCATAACCACCCGCCACCACCTCCACCCCCATCGATGCCAACACACCACCACAGCACAACAACATCGCGACGCGGCATTCACAGCGAAACGTCCACCCCAGTCGACGCCAAACACACCACCAACAAAACATGTTGCCGCTGCTGCCACATCACCAACAAAATCTCCATTTGTCACTTTGCCGGACCATATATGACTCCTGGATAAATCAGCACGATTGGCAAAACCTCAGATGCAGCTTCTAAAGCAATTTTGTCTGCCATGACCTTCGTTCATTCGTGCTCCGTGTAGAAATGTTTACCAGGATGTGCCTATGCAACAATAGACAAAACCAAAAATCTCAACAAACCCACAAAAGGAAAGGAAAACAAACGTGCGGTGTCTCAGCAGCTTCCTCGTTCTGACAACCACCACCATAGCGATTTTAGGATCAAAATCACTAGCAACCTCACCATCTAGACGACACCCAATCTCCTTCCTCATATTCGAGCTGGGCGGCACTCTAAGCACCGCGTGCAGCGGCGAACAGAGTGCCGCCGTGCGTGAAACGGCTGCGGTGCTGTGTAATAGAGCGCCGCCGAACAAAGCCGGAGATTCTCTTCTAGGGGGACTGATTTTATAGAGAAGGGACGCTAATTGCGAGAAGGGAGACGAGAGTGATGATATGAAGGAGATAGAGGTAAGAGAGACGGGAGAAGGGGAAAATGGAAAATTAGGGTTTTAAATTTTTAATTACCTGAATTTGATTAAAAAACTGTGGCACCTGACATTTGCACGGTGAACTTTAAATGCCTAGAGCCGTGTAATTTCCTCTATTTTCATCCCCGCCCTGCATTCGGGAAGGACCGCCCCAGTTAGAGACACACAGCCCATCAAATCCAGCTTGGAGAGAGTGGGCTCAATAATAAAAGGCCTAAGAACTAGCATCTGACCAGACATAGGCCGATCATATAAAAGACCAATGTTACCCCTGACATTGCATATATAAACCCTACCATTTCCACGTCTGAAGGCGCCATCTGCAGCAAGTTCAGTAACTCCAAATTAAAGGTTTCTTTCCAATTAGCTGATTATATCTTGTAGATCTAATAATTATCAGATTCCTAAATAGAATTTATTGTAATTCGTCCTAGATACGCTAATAATCTTTTTCTTCGAATTGTTTTAGATATTTGCCATTTGGTCGAGACATAATTTTTATGGATAACGAGGTGCCAGAATCTATTCAGAAGGTTGGGCTAATTTTTTCTTATATCTACAATTAATTTTCAATTTATTTCATCATTTAATCCTTTGAAGCTTTCTATTAAATTCATTCAATTGAGGAACATTCATACTTCTGCTGTTGGATGTAAAGCTTAATTTGATATTTGTTCGCTTCAAATTGGATTAATATGCTTTTTTTCACAAGGGCCAAAACAACAAAGGGGCCGACCTTGGTGAGAATAATGTTGGAAACCAGGACACAAAGAAGATATTTGTTGGGATAAACACGGGAAGCCCACCGACCAGAAGCCAAGTCAAAATACTAGAAATCAGGGTTATCAAGCACAAATCGACCCAACTGAAAATTCTAAGGAACATATTTCACTCCAGGTGATGCATTTAACCCTGAACAATTGGAACAACTTCATCAAATCTTCTCCGGTCTTCAAGCTCCAAGTCAGCTTTCCATACACGATCCTTCGAGTTCATTAGCTCAAAAAGGTTATTATTTGAGAGCCTTAACTACCTCCTCAAAATACAAATTTCCATGGATCATTGACTCAAGTGCGCTCGATCATATGATGAATTCCTACCACATTTTCTCCTCATACTGAACCTGTGCTAGCAATATTAAAGTTAAGATTGCAGATGAGTTACTCTCAACTGTTGCAGGAAAAGGGAGAATACAAATATCTGAATCTATAACACTAAAATCCGTACTTCATGTTTATAAATTTATCTTGTAACGTGTTATCCATTAGTCAGTCGACAAAAAATTCTAGTTGCTCAGCTAAATTTTTTCAATTTTAATGCGTCTTTGAGGACCTATTATCGGGAAAGAAGATTGGAATGCTAAAGAGTACGAGGGTTTCTACTACTATGAGGCACATATGAGTAAGCCAAGTTAAACTGCAATTTGTGATTTCACATTTATGACTAGGGATAGTGAAATTTTATTGTGACCTTATAGAATGGGTCACCCCAATATGCAACATCTAAAACATGTACTTCCATCTATTTTTCTGAATAAAACATCATTTGACTTTCTATATGACATCTGTGAACTAGCAAAACATCAACGTAGTGTATTTCTGAAATCCATGTACAAACCATCTAAACCATTTACTATGATTCACAGTGATCTATGGGGACCTTCATGAATTCTAAATGGTTTGTTATATTTATCAACGATCATACTCGAGTTTGTTGGCACTACAACAAAAATAGCATATGGCAACGTTCCTACAGTGACGTTTGGATGTGTGTTGGTGTTGTCGTAGAGTAGAAAGCTACGGCAACGTAAAGGGTTCTTTGGCAACGTTTTCTAAACGTTGCCGTAGGTCATATAATTTTTTTAAAAAAATCAATTTATATAAATTGACCGGCAAAATTGAAAGTACTCCTTTTAAACAAATTTTAAAAGTGCATAAAAAATGATAATTTCATTACAAATTTTTAAAACTCACAAACACAGATGAAAGGGTTTATGTCTTCCTTTTGCTTTGTCTCAGAAGATTCTTGCATGGAAATATCAATATCCACTTCTAATAAAAAATTTTGTGAAATTACAAATCTCTACAGTTCAGAAACTTCAACTAGCATCTTTACAAGTAATTGTTGTATGAACACCATTATTCTCCTAGTTAAACGAGAGGCTGAGCCATGTATCAATTTTTATCTGCAAAAAAAGGGAGTCACCTCAAGTCCACTTCATAGAGAACTTCACTGATTTCATCAGAGACCGCTCTGTGGAACACAGATTCAACTCAAACTATATACCTACCATTCTATCTTTGTCATCTCAGGCTGGCAACTGCAGTTTTGCATTAGTTTTCCAACTGCAAAGTGATTGCTTGGTTAGTATGTCTAATGTTAGCTAAAATTAGTTACCAATGAGAAAGGAAAGATCATAAACATGCCCACAGGTTCGTCACCTGATATGGTAGTAGTAGAAGAAGTCTGCGTAAAGAGCTGTTTGAATTAGGCCAGAAAAGCAAGCTGAGCAAAAGAATGATGACTATTAGTCAATGCAAACAAGAGTCATCACACAAACTTTGTGTTTGTTTGGGAAATATTATAATGAAGAGTAATGGATTCCACGAAAATGTGCAGATAATAGGTGGGTAGTAGTTGTTGAATGTGGTTAAAATTAATGTTTAAATTTGACTTCAAATTATAAGAGGATTATAACGAAACCACTTTGTTTCATGACTTACAAATCCATCGACTGAAATGCTTCTCTGTGAAATACCGGTAGACCCAATTGAGGATGTAGAATGCTCGATAGGCCCTGTTGACTCATAAGACATGAGATTTTTTAAAATCTTGGACTTGGTATATAATCCACAAGTAATATATATGAAAGATAAAAGGTATCAGGGTTACAAGGGTTAAAATGGTGGAGGACTGATAACAAATTGCATAAACTACTGATATTATTCCAGCAAATATTTAAGTGCATCATTTACTTAGGATCACTTCATAATTTCTGCAGCAATTTGAACATATGTGTTACAAAATCAAGGAGAAGCTACAGCTATAGAATGGAGGAAAGGCATTATGAATGCCTAACAGAAGTGAGAGGAAAATCTCACATTTGGATATGCACTGGCATATTAGAGATGTTTTAGATACTTATGATCTATAATTCAAATTGAACAAATCACACAACGTATATATAAATTTCAAAGTGATCAAACACACGTGATAGAATTGCTCGGCCTCCATGCATATTGTCCAATCATGTTGCCACACAAGTCCAAATTCTGTATACATAAGTTAAATTAATCTTTTCTCTTTAGCGGCAATAGGTGAAAAGAGAGTAAAAGTACCCGAGGAAGAAAACATATTGTCCAGTCAGATTGTCCACATTTCCACTCCTCTGCAACAGAACTAATTGGGGTATAATTGCAATAGCCTCCAAGTATATTGAAAATGTCCGAAGTATCTGAAAAAAAAATGTAACCAGATTACAAATTATGTAAAAAGATGAAGGTGCAATATATCATATTGGTAATGCAAAACTGATAGATCCCATAGATAGCACTATAGCAAGGTAATGTAAATTAAGTGCAACAGGTTTGTCATTTTAATTGAAATAGAAGCAAGAAAACAGATTTGCTCATTAAAATATTAAGCCTTGGTTTGGCAAATATATAAATGGTTTATAAATAGGAATAGTAGGAGGAATAGTAGTGAGTCCCATGAAATGTATGAATAAGTATGTGTAATAGTTATGAATATATGGTTGAAATTAATGTAACTGTGACTGAATTTATAAATTGTATCCAAACGGAGTGATAAACATGAATTGAAATCTCAATGATGATGCAAAACAGAATATAATCCAGCAAGCACGCACTCCTGTAAAATAAGATCACATATAAAACAAACCTATAAAAATAAAAATAAAAAGATGATTTCAAAAGTATACATGGATATACAGTATAAATAATCAACTGCAAGGGTAAACAAGCATAAATGTATCCATGAATTAACTTTAACAAGCATACACACTTAAATGTTAGAACCAGCTGAGAACAATCAATCCAATTTTTCCGTAACACACATTACACTCAGATCAAGCACATTCTTAATTGGAGCCACAATTTTTAAAGATGTGAAGCAAGCTCTCCAGCTCTCGTGTTAATGTAATGGTCTAATGGTTTAAGTTCTAGTGGCCTCAGATAGATACTTGTATTAATCAGCTTAATTAGGACATTCAGTGTCATAAATGTGTTCTACAAGAAAAACTATAGTGTCTTCAAGAGACATTCTCATTTATAAGTTAGATCCAGCCAGGCAACACTCGAGACTACATTCAACAGCGATTCAATACTCAAAAAGAAAAGAGCGTTGCACAAGTGTCATAGCAGAACATGTAAGGCTGTTCACTTACATGTGCGCATGTGTGATAGAGAGAGGGGGAAGTATTAGGTGGTTCTCTAGGATAGAAAAATAACCCTAAGACACCCATAGGCCATAACCAAGTATCAGCCATAGAACCACATTTACTTGACAAAATTAACTTCAAAGTTCAAACTACTCATAGATCATCCAAATTAATCTAAAGGGACATGTAGAGGGAGAAGATCAAGATAAACTGAGTAGTCTGACCTCCTGAAATGTAAACTTCTCATGGACAAGAAGTGCCAAGAGGAAGCTCGCTCCGACAAGAAAATAATGCCTGAATGTGTCTAGCTGCGGTCATATGATCGCCTCACAACTCGATGGAACCGCATACACCACACAATTGCCAGAGAGCTCCTAATGAATACCAACTTCATAATGGTGTAGTACACTGAAATAAAGTCAGTAAACAAATCTAGATACAGAGCCAAGAACACAAGTGCATACAGCTCCAGCGTCTTCAACGAAATTCCTGAATAACACAAAAGTATATTTAATTTCACCTTTCAACTGAAGAAACTACAGATGCCCATCTATAAAGCCAGATTTATGCATAAAAACACAGAATTGAAGTCCTCAAAGCCTTCATCTTTATTTACGAAAAAAGAGCTAGAGATACGCATTTAAGAGAATGCCTGCACAGGGAACAATGTCTTCCACTCCGCTCGTAACTGACACATATAAACCCTAAAGTCTTGATATGTATTACTAATATATGCTCACTAAATAAAGTAAAAAAGGGAGCTGCATTCTTCTCTTCAAACCTGCTTATGCTTGTGGGGATTTTAAAAGGGATGACAGATTATAGTACCAACATGCTGCTCCATAAATAAAGCAATGCAACAATAATATATTGTCATCCACTGCTTCTGGTTATTTTGCAGTTTGATATATTGTCATCAGTAGAATTGTTTGTATTTTCCACTTGATATTGTTATGGCTGGAAGTCAATACCTTCTTAAATGCTAATAATATTTAAAATATTTAAATATGTTTTTGCTTGTTCAATAAATTTCATTATAAAGCCCTGGTTCAGAAGGTTTATTGACAACTTATTACAAGTAAGTAAATTTACTTTTGAGTAAACCTTTTAAGCTTAGCCTAACATGCTGCAAATATAGGCTAGTCTGATGTTGTATGAAGTAAGCTTGCAGCAATCTAGTCATCACAACTAAGGTGGAAGATAATGGTAAAATATCCAAGGTAGATTCAACCATGCCTCTTGCTAGTCAAACAGGGCAGGATGGGGAACTATAATAGACATTAGTAATATGAGTTCAACTTAACATTTAGAAATAAGAGTGATGCAGAAGAATAGACAAGGAAATTTTACTTTATAAGGTGGTCCATGGTTGCAAAATATAGGATATGTCTCGACCTTTTGGAAAAGGTAGTCTAAAGGAACGTCCAAGAAGGATTCATGTGGTTTATCTCGACTTCCAGTGTATGATTGAGGCTCATCTATCGAAGATTGTGTATGACATCTTTTAGAAGTTTAATTTTGAAAGGTCCACTTATTCGAAAGCATACCACTTAGGAAATAACTCTGTTTTCAATTTCAAGGTGATCGTGATCTTCAATCTCAATTTTTCCACTTTTGTGGTGCTGCTATGGATTTTTTTTTTAAATATTGTTTTCCTCTAACAGTGTTAGTTTTCTTTTCAAATTATCTCTCCAGGTTTTCGTCATTTATTTTCCAGTTGTTTCATATTTCATGTCTCTGTTATTTTCTGGTTTATCACCCAAAGGATATGGAGTTTGACGGGTTGTTGATTCCTGCTTCACAATCTAGTTTTGGACGCTTTCCATAATGAATACATTTTATTGTGAATTTCAGGAAGAAAACCATCACCTATGTGGGATAGATTGGTCTTCAATATAATAAAAGACAAACTTGGAGGGCGAGTCCGTTTCATGACTTCAGGTGCTTCACCATTGTCTCCTGATGTCATGGAGTTTTTAAGGGTGTAAGTTGCATATTCTTCTAGCACAAGATAAGTTGTATCTATATTAATGAGAATTAGGGGGTTCACACTTTTTGTCCAACATTTCACTCTACATGTAGTCATGTAGATGTTTTGGCTGTCCCGTGCTTGAAGGATATGTGATAGACCCTTGATCCAAATAACCTACCAGAGGCGTAAAAGGGAGCAAGGGCAGAATAGGAAATGAGCAAGTAACCATCACATGCACCAGCACTGAGTTTGTTAGGCACTCCAGTATAAATAAGAGCAGGAACCATATTGTAACGCAGGCAGAAATTAGTAGTTCGTTAGGAGAGTATTGGCCTCTCGAATGCCAATTATCTGTAATTTCCTTTCTTGTTAATTGAAATTGTCCAGGTTCTTATCATTGGTATCAGAGCAGTTGTATCCTGATGGTGAATTTATCAGATCGAGTGGGGAATTTGGAAGGGGCTCATCAGAAATTGCATGAACAAATGGAAGGGGTGCAACATGGAATCGAAGGAATGCAGGTGGAGATGCGTAGAGTCCAGAACATCGAGAAGAACATGTCTCTTATGATGGAACAGTTTGCCTTCATGAGATCGAAATGGGAAGAAGGAGAAAATGAAAGAAAAAGCAAGGGGAGTGAAGGAGAGAAGGACTCAGGGTATACCGCGCTTCCTGAAAATTCCCTGGGAGCTGGGACAAACATTCGAGCTGAAAATGGAGGTATGGGCGAACACTGGCGTCCAGAAAGCAGGGGGAGGAAGCTGGAGATGCCAGTATTCGTAGGGAAGAGTCCAGATGACTGGATCTTCAGGGCTGAACGGTATTTCCTGGTAAACCAATTGACGGAATCAGAAAAGCTCGAGACGGCAGCCCTATGTTTCGATGGAGACGCCCTTGCCTGGTATCAATGGGAGCAGAGGAGGAAAAATATAGGGAGTTGGGGGGAACTGAAAACGTTGCTGAGGACACGATTCCGATCTACTACAGATGGCTCCATGGAGGAGCAATTCCTAGCACTTCGACAAGATGGTTCAGTTAGGGAGTACCGAATCGCCTTCGAAACAATGGCAGCGCCCATCGGTGAGATCTCAGACGCCATGCTAGAGGGTCACTTCATCAATGGGCTAAAACCAGAGATTAGGGCTGAGATTCGGGTCTTAAAACCTATTGGGCTGGAGCAGATGATGGACTTAGCCCAACGGATTGAAGAGAAGAATAGGCTGTGGCAGGCCCGTTTTGGAAGAACTGATCCAATTAGAAATAAGGCAATCCCCAACCCAAATTGGCCAAATCCCCAATCCCGATTCGTAAATCTCTCAGCCTCAAACACCCAGGTGCGACCGGCGACTTCTATGGGAGCCAGAATCGCGACCTCCCCAGACAACGTCGTACCAAAATTTAAAAAACTCGGCGAAGCTGAGTTCAAAAGCAGGCGAGAAAGGGGGCTGTGCTTTCGTTGTGATGAGAAATTTTTTGTGGGACATCAATGTAAGAACAAGGAGTTGCAGGTGCTGCTGGTTTATGATGAGGAGTTAGAGGAAGGAGAGGAAACAGAGGAGGTGAGTGAAGCATCAGAAGAGAAAGGGCAGGATGTTTCCGGCGAAGTTGTCGAGCTATCAGTGAACTCAGTTGTTGGGCTCACACCACCGCACACTATGAAGATGAAAGGGTTGATTTCCGGGCAAGAAGTGGTGGTTTTAATTGATTGCGGGGCCAGCCACAACTTCATTTCAGCTGAATTAGTCCAGAAATTTAACTTGAAGAGAACTGAGACCGCCGGTTATGGGTTGATCATGGGCACAGGGATGGCTGTGCAAGGTGCTGGGGTGTGCAAAGGGGTACGATTGTCACTTCAGAATCTGACTGTAGTTGATGATTTTCTTCCATTGGATTTGGGTAGTTCCGACGTTATCTTAGGGATGAAGTGGCTATCCTCTCTAGGCATGACCAAGGTTGACTGGAAGTCGCTAACGATGAAGTTCCAGGTCGGAAGCACTACCATGACTCTGCAAGGGATCCGAGCTTGAGTAAGACTATGATTACTCTGAAGGCGATGATGAGGGCCTTCAGAGAGGGTGGAACAGGGGTATTGCTGGAACTGGGAAGTATGGGGGTCGAAATTGGGAAGGAGCAAGAAGAAGCATTTGCAAGGATACTGGAAGTGCTGGGGAAATTTAGTGAGGTTTTTGAGGAGCCTTTTGGATTGCCCCCGCCGAGAGAGAAAGATCATGCCATCCATTTGCAGCCGGGAACCAACCCGGTTAGCGTAAGGCCATATCGTTACCCACATGTTCAGAAGAATGAAATAGAGAAGTTGATCAAAGAAATGCTGGCTGCAGGAATTATCAGGCCAAGTAGTAGCCCCTTTTCTAGTCCCGTGCTACTGGTTAAAAAAAAAGATGGAGGATGGCGCTTTTGTGTGGATTATCGAGCTGTGAACAAGGTAACGGTACCGGACAAGTTTCCTATTCCGATGATAGATAAACTATTAGATGAATTAAATGGAGCTACTGTTTTCTCTAAACTGGATCTTAAGGCGGGATATCATCAAATTCGAGTCAAGCCGGAGGACGTTCCAAAGACCGCCTTTAGGACTCACGAAGGGCATTATGAGTTCTTGGTCATGCCATTCGGGTTGACTAACGCTCCAGCTACGTTCCAGTCTCTCATGAATGAAGTGTTCAAGGAACACTTGCGGCGATTTGTTCTGGTGTTTTTCGATGATATCTTGGTCTATAGCCGAAATTTAGAGGATCATGTGGGGCACTTGCAGAGCGTTTTGCAGATACTAAAACACCATCGGTTATATGCCAATCAAAAAAAATGTAGTTTCGGCCAGCGAGAAGTGGAGTACTTGGGACATTGCATTTCACAACACGGTGTAGCAGCTGACAAATCTAAAATTCGAGCCATGGTTGACTGGCCGAACCCCCGTTCCTTGCGTGAGTTGAGGGGTTTCTTGGGGCTGACCGGGTACTACCGCCGCTTTGTGAAGGATTATGGGAAATTAGCTTGGCCCTTAACTGATCGCCTGTGCAAAGATAATTTTTTCTGGGATGAAGAAGCGGAGCAGGCATTTACTAAATTGAAGGCGGCCATGGCAGCAACCCCAGTTCTGGCCCTTCCAAACTTTAACAAACCCTTTGTGGTAGAGACAGATGCTTCCGGATTTGGACTGGGGGCTGTACTGATGCAGGACCAACACCCAATAGCTTACTTCAGCCGTGCACTCAGTCCAACGGGGAAGGTAAAATCAGCTTACGAGTGGGAACTGATGGCAATAGTGTTTACGGTGCAAAAATGGAGGCATTACCTACTGGGTCACAAATTTTTTGTGCAAACGGATCAGAAGAGTTTGAAGTTCTTGCTGGAACAGAGGGAGGTGAATTCGAATTACCAGAAGTGGTTAATTAAATTAATGGGATATCACTTCGAAGTGCAATACCATCCGGGGATCGAAAACAAGGCTGCTGATGCTTTATCCCGCATCAATTCTTCCACTGAACTGATGGCTCTCTCGGTACCTGCAGTCCTGCAACTGGACATTCTAGCCGAGGAAGTTCGTGCCGATTCCCAACTCCAGAATATCCTTCGGGATCTCCAGCGAGGTCAGTCTAGCAATTCGGGATTTTCACTGGTGAATGGGCAGCTGTTGTTCAAAGGACGTTTGTTTTTACCGAAAGGATCGAAGTTAATTCCTTTGATGATGCAAGAAGGCCATGACAGTAAGAGTGGGGGACACTCTGGATTCTTGAAAACATACAGGAGGATTGCAACTAATGTCTACTGGGAAGGTATGAAAACAGATATTCAGAAATACGTCCGACAGTGTGCAGTTTGCCAGCAGAACAAATATCTCGCCTTATCTCCGGGGGGGTTGCTGCAGCCACTCCCTATTCCGAATCAGATTTGGGAAGACATCGCCATGGACTTCATCGAAGGATTACCGAAATCGGGAACCATGGATACAATTCTGGTAGTGGTGGATCGATTAAGCAAATATGGGCACTTCATAGGACTCAAACACCCTTTTTCGGCGGCAAGTGTGGCAGGGCATTTTGTGCGAGAAGTAGTAAGATTGCATGGGATCCCACATTCCATAGTGTCAGACAGAGATAAGGTCTTCATCAGTCACTTCTGGGAGGAGTTATTCCGTTTACAAGGGACACAACTCAGTCGTAGTACGGCCTACCACCCCCAATCTGATGGTCAGACAGAAGTGCTAAATCGCACATTGGAAACCTATCTTCGATGTTTCGCCTCTTCACGGCCTAAATCATGGTTCAGTTGGTTACCTTGGGCCGAATTATGGTATAACACCTCTTTCCACACCGCAAGCAAGACGACACCCTTCCAGGTTGTTTATGGGCGTGAACCACCTGTTTTGCTACGATTTGACAAGGGGACTACACCTGTTTTGGCAATTGAACAGCAATTTCGTGAACGAGATCAGGTTTTGGACGAACTGAAGGCACAGTTACTACGGGCTCAAGCAAAGATGAAAAGCATAGCTGACCCCAAACGAAGAGATGTCCAGTTCGCAGTGGGGGACCTGGTATATCTGAAAATGAGACCGTACCGTCGCAAATCCTTGGCGGCAAGACCTAATGAGAAGCTGGCACCCAGGTTTTATGGTCCCTTTACTGTGGGACAGAAAGTGGGACAGGTTGCTTACAAACTGATCCTACCTTCAACGTGTAATATTCACCCGGTGTTCCATGTATCTCAGTTGCGCAAAGCTGAAGGAGCAGTGCAGGCGGTGACAGAGGTACCAAGCCAGCTGAGTGAAGAGCTGGAGTTGCTGGCTGAACCTGAAACATTACTTGGGGTCCGTCCAGGTTTGGGGCTGAATATAAGAGGATTGGACGTTCTAATTCAATGGAAAGGACTGCCACCACTTGAAGCTACCTGGGAGTCCTACGACATGATTAAGCAACAATTCCCTTCCTTCCACCTTGAGGACAAGGTGAAACTCATAGGGGAAGGTATTGATAGACCCTTGATCCAAATAACCTACCAGAGGCGTAAAAGGGAGCAAGGGCAGAATAGGAAATGAGCAAGTAACCATCACATGCACCAGCACTGAGTTTGTTAGGCACTCCAGTATAAATAAGAGCAGGAACCATATTGTAACGCAGGCAGAAATTAGTAGTTCGTTAGGAGAGTATTGGCCTCTCGAATGCCAATTATCTGTAATTTCCTTTCTTGTTAATTGAAATTGTCCAGGTTCTTATCAATATGGTATGACAGAGACTTCATGTGTCAGTGTCATTAGCTCAATGGACGAACGTGACACCTTAACTGGTCATGTTGGTTCTCCCAATCCTGCTTGTGGTAAGCTGTTGTCAGTGACTTGTACAAATATTAGCATTTAATGCCTTAGTTAATAGCTAGTCAAGTAAACTTTTTAACATTACAACTGATGTGGAAAATGTAAATTCTGTCATTGAGAAGGGATAATCATTATAAAAAGTAGTTTGTTGTATAAATGCCTTTATTGTTTATGGGTACCAACTTTTGCTTGTGTAAAAAACTGATTTTCTTGTCTCTTCCAGAAATAAAGCTGGTGGATGTTCCTGAGATGAGTTACACTTCTGAAGATCTACCACATCCTCGTGGGGAGATCTGAGTTAGAGGTCCCATCATTTTCCAAGGCTATTACAAAGATGAAATCCTGACGTGCGTATGTTTCAAGTATTGTATCTAGCATGCTCAAGATAGATTTGGAAATCCTAAACATTTCTTACTCTTGAATAAATTAACAGGAGAGAAGTAATTGATGATGAAGGTTGGCTACACACAAGGGATATTGGACCATGGCTACATGGTGGACCTGATAGACTTGCTGCATTTAAGACGTTCCAGATATAATTCTCCTTACTAAGCCAATGTTTGGGAAAAGTTGCAATGATAGTTTTTGTCACAGCTTGGTTATGAAGGTATCTTAATTCTTTAATTTTTGGATTTATACATATTTTCTTTAATTTTTGGTGAAGCACTAAGTATCTTCAAGGTGGGAGGCTCTTTCCAATATGAAAGATGCAGGCCAAGAAGAAAGTAACGGGAAGGAGTTTTGAGAGCTATCCAACCCAACGATTTGAAGACAGCAAGTTGTAAATTATCTTCTTTTGTTTCAGAGGAGTGTAAAATGATGTTTATTTCATAGGCAACATGCCAATCAAAATTTTTATTCGATTTATTGCAATGATGTGTTCTATGTTTATTTTGTATGGATTAATAAAATTATATCCATTTCATGTAGGCAAATTATTATTATTTTTTTTTATATTTTGTGGTTAATTTGGTAAATCGCTGTCNTGTTACAAAAAATAAGGATATAAGCGTGGACAACATTCAAAAAACGTTGCAAAAAGTTTATTAGCAACGGTCAATGAACGTTGCAAAAAACTCTTTCGCAACGGGACCGTTGCAAAAAACTCTTTCGCAACGGTCAACGAACGTTCCAAAAAATCCTTTCACAACGGTCGGAGAACGTTGCAAAAAACTCTTCGCAACGGTCTTTGAACGTTGCCGCATCTTCACACTCTAGACAACGTCGAAGCCCGCAACTTGTGCTCGAACGCTGCAAAAGGTTTATGGCAACGTTTTTTGACCATTGCAAAAGACAGTTTTTGGTGTAGTGATTGACATTTTTCATTTGAAAGTTGATGATATTGACGCCTTCAACAATTATTCATGGGGACAGAAATGTTATGAGGATACTCTATGCGCCTTTAGGAGGGGGCATTCGATGCCCAGTGGGGGGGAATGGGTATGCTTGAGCGTAAGTATGATGCATATGGGTGCCCTTGGCATTACAGGTAAATGTTTAACATAATGATAAGCAATAACATATTCGATTTAGAGTAAATAATATTTGTTATGCCTCTCCAGCGACTGATTGATACTTATGATAAGAAGACATAGTTGCAAAGATGAAGCCACGAGTGTATTCATCCAATGGCTCTTGTTCATCACCTCCTGCTATAAAAGCTCGCATTTAGTGTCATTTAAGGGTAATGCAACTTTTAGATTCTTATAATATAACTTTGCTATCTCAACTTACTTCATTTATCCCCTAATCTTGAACCCCTTTTTAGAAAGTAGATCACGTCTTTAGTGTGTCATACACCTAAACACATATCTCATCTCAGATTGACTTGATCAATGAAGTGCTTGTGGCCGTCCCATACTACCAAAAATTGGCCTTATACTTTAACGGTTTCTCCAAATGTGCAAGACTAAGGCTTAATGGACGTTGAAGAAGTTGGGATCTATTGGCCACGACATCCTTACAAAAATTGAGGTCAACAATATTAATCAAAACTGACAAAAATTAATATTTAAAGTTGTCACAAGGTAAGTTAAGATGAAAGAAGGGCGTCATCTTCTTGTATGGTGATAAGTGTATTTTATACACTTATTCGGGCTCCAAATTATGACATTTTATGGTTCTTTTAATGAGATTATAGCCTAATTTATGATATAATGTGTTATTAGGTGAAACTCGATGGATGATGAAGAATTGGAGAAAAGAATGCAAAAATTGGCGAAAAAGTGGAAAGATCCAAAGCTTGAGGGTTAAAGTGCAAATACACAAAAGTTGTGTCGAAGCTCACGATGAAGATTCAAGAATGCTAGAGGTCAAATGGATGCAA